ACTTTTATGGTCTACCTCTTCTCCAAAAACTGTAAGCATTCTCCACTTGGTCTCCACCAATTTGTTTCTTGCCTTTGTGAACACTAGAAATTAAGTTAGTAGCTAATGGCATAGCCAGTATATTTAACTTGATTAAATGTAGTTAAAGGGTTGGTTATTCCTTCTTGTAGGCTACTTGCAAATAATTCATTGAATGGCTCAATTTCATCCTCCCTTTGGTAGAACAAGACTCTAAATGCACTAGAGAGTCTTACACTGTAAGTCTTCAAAAAATGATTTTCTTTGTTTAGAATTTGAACCCCACATCACAGTCACAAACTTGATTTGCCAAGTGAAAAAGTTGATCCAAATTTAGGAGCCTCATTTGTTCTCACTTAAGATCAATAGTGTAATCATTTGTGATGTTCAATGATTGTTTTTGCTAATAATTAGTGCCCTGTGGCACTTTACATTAACTGTGCAGGGATTTGGAGAATAATTTGCTCGTCAATATTTCTGGAAGTTCTGACCTTGTGTTTAATTTCTCTTTGCTTTTATATCCTATTACTTTACCTACAATATAGTATAATATACACTTACACCTTCAATGCGCCTGTTGGTTTTATACTTTTTTTTTGTATATATATATATATATATATAAAGAAAAGAAAGGTTCACAGCCTAAATTGAAGTTGAATATCTTCTTGTCTTTCAGGCTTAAAGGGAATCCTATATGCTCGAATCGAAGTTTAGTTCGGTTCTGTAAATCTCAAACTAAGAATGAAATTAGAATAAGCACTACAACAAACTCCACCACCGCTGAGTGTAAACCGCAATCATGCCCTTATGAGTATTCCCCAACATCTCCTCTGGATTGCTTTTGTGCTGAGCCTCTGCTAATTGGATATCGGTTGAAAAGTCCTGGCTTTTCAGATTTTATTCCATATAAAAAAATGTTTGAGGAGTACCTAGCTCAAAGTCTCAGCTTGTTTGTTTATCAACTCTACATCTATTCATTTGCATGGCTAGAAGGACCACGACTGGAAATGTACCTAAAGCTCTATCCTGTTTATGATAACACTACCAACAATCATTTATTCAATTCAAGTGATGTTCAACGAATTAGGAGCATGTTCACTGGACTGAATCTCCCTCTTAGTGGCATATTTGGATGTTACGAACTTATAAACTTCACTTTGCCAAATGTCTATAAGGATGGTTTGATCCACAACTTCATCTCTTGCCTTAAGAATATTTATCCATAACTTTCATTTTTTTAATAAAAAAGATTCTTATATTATCATATAATTTTGCAAAATTCAGCCCTTCTTTATCAACAAGCGTAAGTAAAGGTGCATTGGCTGGCATTATACTAGGGACCTTTGCTGGTGGTGTTACATTATTTGCAATCATTTCACTTATTATGCTCAGAAGGTGCCTGAGGGGCTACCATGTAGTTTCAAGACGACGACAATGTGAGTATCTTAAAATTTCTAATGATAGGATGTGCAAGTTGATTGTATATATTATTATATGTCTGTGTACTATTTTCTAGATTGATTGTCTATCAAAAATAATTTTCTTTTCAGATATTACATATGGTATTATTTTTCCACAGATAAATCTTGATGCTCTCATGATTTTTGTTCATTAATCACAAGGACTCTCTACCAGTTTCATTTTCATTTATCCTGCAGAACAGTGAATGGAATTGCATTTTATTTAGCTAGTTGTTACTAAAATATTGAGGAAGAAGTTAGGATTTTTTTGCCTCTATTCAGTTATTCATCTTGCTTTACATTCATTTTGAATTTGAGTCACCGCAAAACACTTCCTTTTATCCAAATATATCTTATTCATCTCTTACATATTTTTTAGGAAATGAAAAAAAAAAGAAAAAAAAATGGCACATTCTTTTAATAGCAATTAATTTTGTTCAAACATTTAGAGACCTGTTTTCTTGTACAGCATCTAGAGCCTTGTTAAAAATTGATGGTGTCAAGAGTTTCACATATGGAGAACTGGCTTTGGCAACAAACAATTTTAATTTCATTGCTCAAATTGGCCAAGGTGGATACGGAAAGGTTTATAGAGGCACTCTAGTTGATGGCACGATTGTTGCCATAAAGTGTGCACAACAAGGGTCATTACAGGGTGAAAAGGAGTTCCTAACTGAAATACAATTATTATCAAGGTTACATCATCGAAACCTTGTTTCTTTGGTTGGTTATTGTGATGAAGAAGGTGAACAGGTACTTTATCTCATTTCTTTTAAAAATTTTGATTGACAAGGTATCATATTTTTTTCCTACCTATAAATGGTTTGAGAAATGAATGTATGGAGGGACAAAAGATGTAAATTCAATGTTTTATTAGCCTAACTATAATAAAATATTGGAGAGATGAACTATCACTGAGGAAACAATTTGATTAACCAACTTAGTATATGGATAAAATTTCATGCCTATTGTCATTTGTTAATTGAAATTTATTATCACATTTGTCCGTTACTGTCAACAGATATTGGTGTATGAATATATGTCTAATGGCACTCTGCAAGATCATCTTTCAGGTAAACCTTTTGAGTTCAAGAAATGCAAAATGACAACCTTTATTTCTATATGCAAATATCATGATCCTTAGTATAATATTTTATCTGTATGGTACTGCATGCAGGAAAGATTAAAGAACCTTTGAGTTTCACAAGGAGGTTAAGAATTGCTCTTGGTTCATCCAAAGGAATCCTCTACCTACACACAGAAGTTGACCCTCCTATATTTCATCGGGATATCAAGGCTAGCAATATATTATTGGATTCTAAATTGGTCGCAAAGGTGGCCGACTTTGGACTTTCACGACTTGCTCCAATGCCAGGTATTGAAGGTGCAGCGCCTGCTTATGTGTCTACTATTGTAAAGGGGACTCCAGTAAGTGTTTTACTTGAATAAAATTAAATCAGAAACTTCTTTTTTCTTGTAATAAAATTAGAAGCTTCTATATATATATTATATAGAAAAGTATTTTATAGGGCGTCCTCCCAAAATTTTTTTGGAGGACATATTTTTTAAAAAACTTATCTTCTAATTAATATTTTTAAAAAATCAATAGTTGAATTGAAGGTTCTATTTATGTAAACTATATATGTTAATTTTTAGATTGTTTTAATAGGGCTAAGTATTTCGTTAATTACATAGAATTTAACTCAGTTGAATATATGTCAATAAATAAAGTTCTTTGATCAAAAGGCTAGTAAATATTAGATCAATAATAAAATTTATGTGTATGATTTGTATGGATAGAACTTTCAATCTAATGGATAATTTTTAAAAATATTAATTATAAGATGGGTTTTTAGATAGGTTTTCCAAAAAAAATTTTGGGAGGACGACATGC